CTTTTATGGAAAAAGTGACCGAGGTGCTCATTTTGGACACCTTGTAAGGTGCAACAGGAGTGCATGTCTGAAGGGGGCTAAAGCAGCCATTTGTCAACCCCACACTACAGCCGTCATTAATCGGATTTATTTTCTTAATAAATGCAACATTTGAAAAAAACAACAGTTAAAATACACCCGGTCCTGGAGAAACGGTGTTAATATTTACATAGTTATAAACCTGTTTTTACTAAAGATGTTCTCACCTGGGAATAATCAGTCTTTGTCTTGATCATTTAGATTTTCTTGTGGCCTTTTTGGTTTTCAGACAAACGTTCCAAGCACAGAAATAAACTCTGCCATCTTTCAGTTTCTACATAAAATCATTCTTGCAGTCAGTTTAAAAGTGCGACTGTAATGCCTCCTTCCTCGCTTGCCTCTCTTTCACCTACTTTTGCCCGCCTTGCCTGTCCTCTTGACCCGCCTGCGGCTCGTTGTGGCGCGGCCTGGCTTGGCTGTGGTGAAGGTGATGCACTGAGAGTCCAGGTAGTCCATGAGCTTGGCGGCCCCCAGGCGTATCCCTGCTGCTTTGAGTTGCTCCTGAAGCTGAGACAGAACCAGAGGCTTATACTGGAGGATCTGACTGTACAGCTTTGAGTCGGACAAGATGAAGGAGTGCACGGCTTTGAGTCGATCCTGGAGCCGGGACGCTGCTTGAGAGGCAGAAATCCCGCCATCGCTGTCGGAGTCGCCGTCGGACGAGATGCATAATTCTGGATTGGACCTGATGAGAAGGAAGCGGTTAATTTTATAGACTCTACTAAGTGTCTGATTTTTAAAGTGAGTGTCAGGTATCTAACTTGTATATCTGAGGGTCAAACGTGCACAAACTAAGCAACAGCTGGAACTGGAAAGCTACTTCAACGGTTCCAGGCGTGTAAGGGGTCATGTTGGCACCAAATGATCAATCACAAAACATGAATGAAATCAAGTTTTAACCTCCCAAATATGAGGAATTGCATCTGTAAAATGGGCTAAAAGCAACTCCTGATATTGGCTAAATTATCTGATCCAGAAACTCAGTTCATGGCTGTGTGCAGGTTGTTTTTTCTCTCTCTGTCCTGCATTACTGGAGCTGCTCCTGTTCTTTCTGTGCAACACTGTAATTGTGTTAAAAGAAGCCAAAGATCCTTGAATACTATTGCCCTGCTAATCCAACCACCAAGCGTCACTACAGTAATCCCATTTTCCAAAAGAACTGAGCGGGTGAGTAATGGTGCTTTTATACACACCGATTTGTTACCTGGTACAAAAACAGCATTCAGGCAAGTTACCTTAAATTCTAGTTCATATCAGCGCCATCAGCTCATGATGCAGAATATCTGTGTGTGAATTTGAATTAATGCTTCATAGTATATAAAAGCAATTTACAGTAGCGTTCAACACATTTGCTGATAAAGTTTATATCACATATAATCAGCATCATCTTTGAACTTTTTCCCCATTCTGTGCATTTTAAGCTCTTTCTCTCAGGAGCGCTAACATCACATGTCTTTGACTCATCGTTATATGGCTGTTATCTTCACTCTGTTAATGTAATTTTAAATAGTGGACATAATTAGATGGAGTATTTTAAATCACACTGGTAAGAGGGAAAATTACATTTTTATACATTTCAAATTTCCCCAAAGAATCTCATTCATAAAGGTTGTTTATCTTGACTTTATAGCTGTGCACTCACTACTGACTAAATTCATAGTTTTTTCCCCAGGTAGGAACAAAAAACAACATTCTTGAGCTCAATTATTAAAAACACTAAAAATGTAAGCACCCTCTGTATAGCTGTGGGTTGTGACACACAGGTGTACACTTTGGTGTCATTCTGAGGCAACAGCACAGCAAATTTCACACAATGACCATAGCAGGTTACAAACGGTTACAAACACAGGCCACTGACTGAGTCTATAGTCAAGCGCTCTGTTATGTAACACCTAAGATGATCTACACACTGCGGAGTACCTTTCCGATTCTTCACTGGCTCCAGCTGAGGAGGTGTTGGAGCCCTGTGAACTGGACAGAGGCTCCGCCACCTCATCACCGTTGTGCTTCACAGGGCACACATCAGCAGGTGCTCGGGGTTCTTTAAACTTCACAGTCTGGGCGCAGGACACTGGCCTGCTGGCAGGGGGCTTCATCTGAGCTGTGGCTCCTGAGACTGGGGCCTCATCCTCAGAGTCTGAGCTGACCAGCTGGTGTGTGTATTGGTGGATCTCCTTCAGTTTTAGGATCATCTGGCGCTTCGGTAAAGGCCGAACGCCAAACCTGCACAGAGGCGAAAGTTAAAGGCATTTGCGAGGCACAGACGGACTAACAGATGGACAGAAGGAAAACAGCCTGACAGCGAGCAGAGCCAGACAGACTGCGTCGACAGTGACACCAGGGGAGCTAATCGGATAGATTCCTCACTTAATCGCTGAGATTAAGTGAGGAAAAACTTGGCCTTGTATCTAATCTTTAATGAGTGGATGAGAGTGAACCAACTGACCTGTTGAGCTTGTTCTTGAGCTCCGGCGTGTCCATGTCAGAGTAGTGGGCATGGGAGTGATGGGCACCAAGGTGCGCTGCCTTTTGCTGTGAGACGACACTGATGAAACACAAGAAGAAGACACTGTTTAGGAAAAAAGTCTAATTTCTACACTAGAAGTTCATAAATAGAAGACAAGTGCGTGCAGTCCTTTAAAAAAAATCCCAACTAATTATTTATTCAACAGAAATTAAACACAATATATCTGTAATAGCCCGCAATCATATCTAACAGGTTTTGTTTTTTCTTAATCTAAATCAATAATTTAGGCACAGATTAAGTTATACTAATTGTAAAGCATTTGAATGAATTGGTGATATTAAACAATATAGATAAAATGAACCTGATAAAGCAATAAGCCCCCAAAAAACACATTATTCCTTGTTTTCCACTTGAATTTAATCAATACTTCAAACTTTTACCAGTCAATTTGGTTTTAACCTTGAAATGAGGCTCAGATATAACATTGTTTCACAATTAACAAGTTCGTGCTTATTAAAGTTAATGAGCACAACATTAATTAATGTTGCAGAGTCTTGACTTTAAAATAGAAAGTGCCTTGAGATGCCTATTTTTTTGGGTTTGGTGCTTTTTAAATAAAAACAAACTGAATTAATTGTGGAGGTTGTTTGAGAACTTGTGGTCAATAATAATAATTATCTGTCTTTTTGTGATTTGTTTATAGCACTACTTCTTTTTCTGTTGCTATAAGAGCTGCGTAACACTAAAATTTCTAATTTTGGGGATAATAAAGGTTTATTCAATTCTATTCTATTCTTTCTGTCTTGGTGGAGAAGAGCATGTTTTTAAGCCTGTCACTCAGTTTTTATTGTATGTGTAGCCCTGTGCAGGTTTTTCCCAACCACAAAGGTACAGCGTGTACAACCCTGTGAATACAGACAATAACTTTCTACTTCAGGCACAGGTTGTCTGGTAGAGTGAAGAATCTGATTAGATTTTGAAGCAACTTTCTAGTATAAATTATGTATTAGAGGAAAAATACTTCTTGATATTTAATAAAAATTAAGACCTGTTGATACTTATTGGAATGTTTTTTTTTATCATTTAGGCTAAAACAAATATTTAGTAATATGCAGTTTATATTTATGCTAGCAAATTACACAATAGAAATACTTACCTGGGGTCTTATGATGGGTTGAGGGGTTCACCCTCTTAGAGAGAGGAAGGTGTTCCTCTTCTTCTTCTTCTTCTTCCCAGCTGTCCCATATTTTGGAGTCCAGGAGGCCTTTGTCAATCTCTGGTGTGGTCAGCAATTTGGCTTTAGGTGGGGACGTGGTGATGGAGGGACCTGCGTGCACCTGAGAGCTGTGACATTTAGGTGTGGAAGGGGTAGTCACGTCACCACAGCGGTTTAAAGACTGGCTGCTGTGTCTGGACGATTCAGGTCGACTGGTGGGAGAGGTTAACGACTGGGCTGTTTCTCGCTGCCCGCTGTCCTCCAGCCTCAGACTGAAGCATCCTGGATCAGCGTCTACACACACATCGAGTCCCCATGAATCATTGAACGCTATGGGAGGCTCATCCATGGCCATGAAACTCTGCTGAAAACTAGATTCTTCAACATCTGCCTCTATTTTTATTTCTCCCTCCTGTCCTTCATTGAACATTTCTTCAGTATGATCGGAATCTGTCTCTCTTCCTTCCTTCTCTTTCCTTAACCTCTTTTCATAAATGCTGGAATTATGAGAACGTCGACTCTGACTAGAGGACACGGTTAGCCTCGGTGAACTTTCAAAACTATGAGAAGATGAAGCGCGTGGGCCTGAAGGGTCAGACAAAGGGGAGAGGTGAAAGCT